GACAGCCCTTCCAAAATGACAGTTCCCGTAATGCATTTAAGTATTAAGCAGAAGAGACTTAAATTCAAGAGAAAAAAAAAAAAAAAGGTGATTTAGACACAGGTTAAAATAAACAGCTCAGTAATTGGTAGTCTCTCAACTACAATAGAGCAGTTGAAGATTTTTTTTTAAAAGTACTGCAGAATTAGCAAAAGAAGAGGTGCTTTTTAGTACACTGCCAAATAATTTTTCTTTATCACAGCTCCTATATATCTAAGTACACACCTCTGAACAGACACCCCTAGTATATTGTTCTGAATTAGATGGGACCCCATTCATTTTCTTATGATATTATCAAAAAGCATTTCTGTATTTTCACAAGATGCTGGCGATTTTCTTTTTTTATTGCTTCCACAGTAAAAATTGCTTTTTCTTACTTCTACAGTAAAAATTATTTTGGAGAGGTGTATTTGGTGTATTTAACCATTCTAATATTAAATTGTAATGTATTACTATTATGACTTTTCCTGAGAACTTCGAAGGAACTGCAAAAAGTTCATGTTCACTTTTAAATAATTCTCATTTTGTTCTGATTCATGTAAAATCCACTCTTTTACATATTGCATTTCATCCTGACATCTTTTTGTTTCTTTGTAATTTCAAGACAGCATTATATTCCCCTAAAAGTTACTATTTTTTTTCTCCCTGTATAGTTAAATCTCTTTGAACAGTCATAGAATGGCTCTTTTTGAAGGAAATAAAAACGAAACATTTACCTTTAGGAGATAGAGATGTGTTCCCAGTTGTGGTTTGGAAAATGCTGAATAGACCGTGTGTACAAAAGTAATCCCAATTTAAAAAATAATAGCCTAACATGGGATTCAGTGTAAATGAGCTCTCTGTACTGACATTAGTCTTATTGAAACAGAAGATGTGTCCAATGCAGACAGCTCCTAGGAGGAAAAATGCCTGGAAAATGAATTCTTTGAAATAAACTACAAAAAATGGGAGGATGTAATTTAACCATTGACCAACTAATGGACTTGACAGGATAAAAATGTATGCTGTTTTTCAGGCAAATTTATTTCATTATAGTTCATCTAATTTTTTAATCAGTGAAGCTCAGTATCAGTGTAACAAATGGAAAGACTGCAGCACTGGAGCAGAAAGCAAATATTCCCTCTTTAAATGTAAATGAGAAATTCAATAAATATGGTGAAAAATATGGCTTGTCAGTCAGAGTTTAAATGATTTACGGTATTTATAACAAATCAAGATTTTGTGTCCAGGCATGACTAAGGAACCTCTGTGTTTTCTTTACTGTGCAGAAGCTGACTGGGGAAGCAGATTTAATGTTGTTGGTATTTTGTATTTTTGATGTTCTGCAGAGTATTTAGAGTCTACTAATGAGTACTAATACTTCCATGTCCTTTAGATATAGAATGTTGTTTGGAGCATGCTCAGAAGCTCTTCTCTGTTTGCAGAGAGATGTGATTTTAGGAGGCATTACATTGAATATAATTTTGCAAAACAAAACAGAAATGAGACTGAGTTCTGAGTTCAGCTGTTTTGCCCATTTTTGCCTTGGGACCTGCTGGCAGACAATCAAAAGTCACAAGGCAGGATGACAAGATACATACCTGTGGGAAATCCCATTCTTGTTCCCACATTCTGGTCACCCTCTTCTTGCCTGACCTCAAAGGGAGCAAGCTGCTGGAAATCAGTGAATAATTGTGGCAATTGGCAGTAGGTATTAGTGTATACACCTCTTCAGTTCAAGTGTAGAAAAGGCATTTCTGCCCATTTTCCCTATAAAGAGATCAATGGTTTAAAATTCCATATATTAAACCATAAATAAATAATGACACCTTTTTTCCCATCCAGCTAGTATATGCTCAAGTCATGGTCATGGCACGCACCCCTCCAGCGCCTCGCTGCACTGCCAGTGGATCAGACGGCTTCCAGGATAGCCGTGAAGACAGTATCCTCCCGTTGCCTTTCAAAGGATCAACATACATTCAGAATAAAAGCAGACTCTCATAATACGGATGCAAAGTCCTTAACAGGAGGCTACCTTAACATCAGGCTAACAGACTGCTTGCTTTTGCACCGCACTGCTCTCATGGTAGCTACTACAGTACCAGAAGCTCCTGGTCTACCTTCCCAGATGAGATACAGGCTGTGACATGCCCCATTTGAGGACAGCACATTACATAATTCCTCCAGATGATAAAGATCCCCAGTCCATTTTGTTCAATTAAATGTATATGTCTGTAATTTTAAAAATAGATAAACTCTCTGGTAACTAGATATTCCATCATCATTCTATGGCCTGAATTCAGGCGAACATTACACAAAGCACGGAAATGCTGAGACAGCCGCCTGTGCTGTTGGTTGCCCATACACCCCTCAGCGTTTGCAAGCAGGCTGAATCTGTTTGCCAAGGCTTTGAGGGATGCGCATTACCTTTTCCTCTTAGTCTACTGTCTTCCCCCTTACATTGCCTAGGGAATGGCTCTCGAAACTGTGATATCAGCTAGTATCTGCACACAGAAGTGCACGTGCTTGCTCATGAACCAAAAACTCCAGCATGCAGGGCCACTTCCCCGTGTCATCTACTTTAACCAGATCCACTGGTCTCTGATCACAATAAAGCCCCTTTTTCTTAATTATTCTTGTGTAAATACCACCACACATAATCATTGCCATGCTCTATCCATACTTTCTGACATACTCTGAGTTCATACAGGTGTCCCCATGGGGCAGGTCTGCTGTAGGGCAGTTCTGCATCCTCAGGCCTTAAGCTTACAGGGGAAAGCAGAACCTGCCACAACTGGGATTGCTGGGGAATAGAGGTAATTAAAGATCAAAATCTAAGGGACCAACGGGTCACTCATCTTCAGTACCAATCAGGGGCATATTCAAATTCATAGTTCAATTTAGTCACATAATGAGTCTGTATTTGAGACACTTAACTTTTGACAGCCCTATGAAGAAAAATATCAGTATTGTTATTGATTTTGCTGTGCTAAAATCTCATACATAATAGTTCCAGGGCACTTTTAAATCACTACTAAAGCTTCAGTGTAGTTTGCACTGCCAGGAGACACTAGTGGCTTGCTTAATTAAATAAATCACCCCTTAGTTCATCTGAAAATAGGAGCTATATAAACAGCAGAAACTTCAAATGATGATTAATATAGCAAATGTAATTCTGCCCCATAATTTAAATTATATATAAATCAGATCATATATCTGTAAGTGATTCGGGAATCTTTATGCTTCTTGTCAGCATTAATTTTGGTAGAAAATATGTCTCTGCTCTTTGACTGCTTTCACATGCCAAAGTCTGATAATGCTCTTTAGAAATATGTCACAGTCTCCTTTCTTCTAATACTCAACAGATCTTATAAAGAAAAATGTATGCCTACACATACATTATTTATATAGTGAATTGTTTTACAAAAACACCATCTATTTCAATGTTTATAGCTTTTTCTTAAGACAAACTAATGAAAAATTTGTATTCCTGGTATATACAACTACAATGGCATCATCTTATGAAAATATATGAAACTAAAAATTATTCAAAATATGAATTTTGATTAATTTTTCATTGTATGTTGTATATAAATCTCTAAAAATAACTCCACGAACCCTGGAACTTGTGTCTGATGCAGCACAAGGGCAGACCAGGGAACGGGAAGGAAGACAGCGGTCTGTATTAGAGATGCAGCCTCTGTTTTGCTACCACTGAACTGCAAACATGCGGAATAGAAAAGGTAATATGACTGTAAAGCTGAGACCAACGTAATATTTCTATAACTCAGTTAAATTAAAATTTCTCCTGAACTTGTTTCCTCCTCTCCTGATTTCTTGTCTCCAGTGCTGGAACCAGAGACCTGTCCAAATTCCCTCTCTCCTGACACCAGCATCTTAGCACCTATCTGGAAGTCCTGAGCTCTTCCAAAAAATATTTCAAATAAATGATTTGTTTCAAAAAAGGCATGTGTGTCAGGGCAAAATCAGCATGTGTCTGCACAAAAAAACATCCCAAATCCCCCCGCGTCTGCTTCCCAATTTAAAACACTGAGGATTAAATAATCTGAGGTCCTTTGATTCATATTCTCTAAGACAAAACAAAAACAGAAAGAATATGCAACACAAGCAGGGAGAAAGTGAAATTGCCTGATTAATGCAGGCTGGTGTCCTCAGCAAGGGTAAGATAATAGTCAGAAATAAATGAAAACATGGGAAAAGTCTGATCCTGTGGAGTTCCCAGTACCTGCAGCTCTTCACTAAGTAACCCTCAAAAGCAGCAGTATGATCATCAGCTTGTTGCTGAGTTTGGAGTTTTTCTTTCTTTCCCATGATTTTCATCCTTGCTGTTGATTGTGGAAATTATGCCAAAACTGAAGAAACGAGACCTTATCTCCCCAGAAAAAATAAACAATCAAACAAGCTATTAATCCTGCAAAGCTGCCCGATGCGGGGATTATTCAGCCAACGCGGGCCCTTCCCGCCACCTTGTGGTACTTCAGGGTTTGCCGCTTTTTCGGACACAGATTTTATTTCAAACCAACCTATTGACTTTGCTGACCTTAAATACCCATCCAGTTAAACTACACATGTGCACGCGGTGAAATTTTGACCTCACTGACAGCCGAGGCAAAACTTTTGCCGTTTAAAAGCTTTCCACACTGCAATCAATGCATTAACTTAAATACTCTGTAATGTCACAAATGAAAACAAGCTCAAAACTTAAGAATGTAAAACTGGCATTATGATCTTGAATTCATCTTTTCATTTATTTATTTATTTAAATTAAGGATATACTAGTGCTTAAATAGCTGTCTATTTTTAAATCTACATAAAGAACAAGGACACTATCATCTTTAAGTGACTTTAGGCAATATTTTCCAAATATTTTCTTATTCAACATCTACTTATAACTCAAAATAAAGAAATATGTGAGAAGGAATAAAGGAATGTACATCAAAATTTCCCATTTCTGCTTTCAGATTGGAATCACCAACTCGATCTTTGAGCATGGACGCACCAAGAGGCATTAATATCAAAGCACAAGCTGGGAATATCGAAGCTCTTTCCCAGATGGATATCAAGCTGCACAGTAGTGATGGTGTGGTGAGTGCAGGCACTCCTGTCTCCATGACTATGGCCCATCTTGATAGCTGATCATATCTCAGAACGTTACGTCTGTTTTTAAAGTTCTACTAATTCAATTCTTCGGATTTTAGGAAATGGGATGTTAAAATGAAAGGTGCCAGTAATAACATATTTATGCATCAGTCAGATTAAACTGTAGTATAAATTGATCTAAGGTTGATCTCTAGCTTATAGAAATCTTTTAAGTAAAGCTCTGATGCTGCTAATCCCAAGGCACTCCAGCAGCGTTTTTGGACCAGAGGTTAAGAGATTCAGCCCAGAGCCTCAAAAGATTTGGATTTCTGGACTGAAGAGTGAAGCTCTATAGAAATCTCCAAGAGCTTCCCCAGCAGCAGCAGCAATGCTAGGAATTGCTGCAGCCTATTGACCCGGTCTGGCAGGTCAAGGAGGGGAAGGCACCACGTTCATCCTGCCCCCAGGCTCCAGCACTTGCCCAGGAGCCCAGGCCTTGGAGCAGGTTTGTGCACAACCACTGTGGGCAGGGGACTGTTCTTACGGCACTGTCTAGACATAGTCAACTCGGTCTCTGGAAGCCTTGGTTCTTTCTTGTATAATTTTCTCCAGCAAACTCGTTTGTCCTGCTCTCTCCTATGCAGCTTTTGCTGGATGCTGAAACCGTGCGATTGCCCAAGCTGCCGGAGGGAACAAGAGGTGGCTCTGGTATTTCTCAGGGGCTCTACGAGATCTGCGTCTGCCCGGATGGAAAGCTCTACTTGTCAGTGGCTGGCGTGGGCTCCACTTGCCAGGAATACAGCCGTGTCTGTCAATAAAGCACCAGAAAAATGCCACATATTCCCTTGCTATTCTGAGTTTTGTATTACTACTAACAGCGCATTACTGAAAGCAGAAATTTAAAAAAGAAAGCACTTGAGTTTAGGAAACGAATCTGTACCTAGAAACCCGGACTGCAGACTGGAAGGAGCAGAAGAGCACAATGACAGCTCAGCTTCAGAAAAATGACGTAAATCAAGTGAAATGTTCCCGCAGTACCATTTTGAAATCAGCCATACGGAGAGCCCTAAGAAAAATTTCCAGCTCTGAACTATTATTCAGTCGAATGATTGTCATCATTAATATTTTTGAGCTTCATGGGTTTTTTTTCTCTCACTAAATGTAAACACTTGCTGCATTAATGGGTGAGAGTCACTTGAAGGAATTACTTGAACTATTTGATAAGACAAAGCATTATTTGGGGAATTCAGAAAGTGCCAGGAAATGGTCTATGCAATTTTGTTCTCGCAATAACACAGAATATGAAAGAAAATGTGTGTGTATGAGTTCTGTGCAAAATGTGTTCATTTTCTGATAGCTTTTTATTTTAATTTGATTTGCTTATTATAGAGAGTCACATAAACAACAAACTAACAGAAAAAGCTCCAAAAGTTACTAATTAATACCTTCCTGTGTCTTCAAAGCTGTTAATTGTGCAAAAGAGAAATGTGTTAGTATGTTTTATAATAGCAATAGTTTATTGTACCGCCTGTACCATCATAGTCATTTAAACCCTTTTATATTTTAGGACATGCCAACCCAACAAGGCTATTTGCTCTGCCAGCTGGACTAATGAAAAAAAAAAAGTCTTTAATGTAGATTGTCTGATGCAAGAAACTGCTTGGGCTCTGGGAGATAAAAACAGCCCTTTTTTGTTGTTGTTGTCCGCAGGGTTTGGTTAAGAGGGCTGTGTCTATCTGCAGCTGTTGACTGATATTTCTGATCAAAGTGGGACCCCATCACAAATGGAGACAGTAAAACTATTATTTTTTACATGAGGACTTTGGATATAGAGTAAATGCTCACCAGAGTTGACAAACCATTTATTGACTTTGTAGAGGAATACAACTGCAGACCCGTTTCTCTGTACAGTGTTGCACTGAAGTCACAAATAAATTGTTTGCACACCTCTGGATAGCAGGATTTGTAATTAATAGCCTGTTGTTTAAACCTCATGGGTTTTTAACACCTTTGATGCTCTTTTGTATATATTTGATGATACTATTACCCAGTTAGGAACTGCTGTCACACAGTGCCTTGGTGTTTATTTACAATAAAAGCTGAAACAATAATCATTATTAAATCAGTGTCCCTCTTTTAGAGGAAAAAAAAAGCTTCCTTCTTAGGGCAGGAGCAGCAGCAAACAGAAGAACGACCCTCTATTAAATTTGCTGCTTTGGCTCTGGTGGACCATCAAAGAAACCAGCACTCAAACAAGACCCAAACACCCACAAAAACACTAGTCGAGGGAAGAGCTCCCCGTTAACACGATCTGCTGCAGCTGGGGCAAGGCCCTGGGCAGTCCCTGCCTCAGGGTTATCCATCAGTGCTCGTGTACAATACTGAAATTGCTCTGAAATCAGCAGGGTTGCGACCTAGAAGAGCTTCAACAGGGAAGAGCAGGCTGCGTATGTGAGAGCTGGGATTTTGGGACCCTCCCAGCAAAGCAGGCAAGTGACTCCTGGTCTCCCGGGTTATTTGGAGAGCGCTCAGATTGCTACCACGTTGCCTAAAGGGTAAATTGGATGTGGTGCGTCTTTCGTTCCTGAAATTCCCTCTTCGTGGGATTAGACATCCACCTCAGGAGCGAGGCCTGGGCTGTGATGGTCGTTCCTGGGCTTTTACAGGCCTCGCCAGAAACCTCCCTTCAGCCCTTCTTTGAGGTCAGCCTAGGGGCGTTCGGTTCGACGGGCTGCTGTGCTCGAGCAGACCAAATTATGAGCAGTCATTCAACACGGAGAAAGCCTACGCATTATCAGAGAGGATGGCAAATTCCAGGCCTTGTCAGATACCTGAAAGTCATCGCCACGCACAACTGAGAGGGCTGTAACAGGCTTTCACAGGTCTAGTACAACAGCAGGGCAGGAACTTCAAATCTTAGACTAATGAGCCACTGAAAAGTGTATGAATTATCATCATGCATCTGTTTCTGGCTCATCAAGGATACGCATATACTCACTTTCCATGTGCTGCCAAACTGCTAATTCACCTAGATTAAGCCTTAATTGGCCATACCTTGAAAGTAAGTCTATTAGCCACAGTCTGTCTGTTCTGTTAAGCGACAGAAACATGGAATTTTAAGTTATACATTTTAAGCTTTCACTTTGGAGGCACATTTTTAAATGAGATTTTCCACTAAATACAGAGCAAGGGCTTGGACCCAGGTTTCCCACATACCCCCAGGGTAACCTAACACCTAAACTATTAGGTATTTGGGAGCAGCAACTGTTGAGCCTCTTCTGTTGAAGTTGCTCTTTTTTGACACACTTAAGTTCACAGGTGAGTTCTGGAGCCAGACAGGACCCTCAGCAGACCTCCTGCATGCCAGGCCAATCCACCATCCAAATCACGGATTTGTCCCCCTTCATTTTTATCAGCTTCAGTTCTCATTTTCATTATGCTACCAAACTGACACTGAACACCCAGTTGCGCTGCTTAAGCCGTGAAGGCAAAAACTGCAGGTTTTAAAGAGCGTGGGTAGAAATTGCTTTTGTTACTGAAGAACATTTGGGGGACCTTTTTTTAATTTATGGTGAGCAGAGAAATAAAGCTATTGCTAAAATTACCACAGTGTAATCAGCTGATGCTAATGCCTGAATTGTTCTTGATCTCAGTGTAGTGCGTATATCACCAAATTATCTTTTCTGAAATTTCTATGTGGACATCTTTCCACGTGTCTTTAATACTTGCTAATTATAATTAACACTTGAATCCAACGAAAATGTTACAAAGTAGAAGAAAATCATGGCACAGAAAAATGAGAGTTTGCACTTCTCTAGTTTATTTTGAAAAGTGTCATGCAAATGGAAGAAAAAAATTCTATGCAGCATAGTGAGTTGTCTCTTTTGCATAGATATTTCTCCCCTGCCCCCAGAAAGAGTAATTTACAGCAGTTCTTATAGCTGGGATTATTACACAAGGGAAAATAAAGAGAAGAAAATGATAGTAAATATTGTAAGTGGCAAAACATAATTTTTTGTTCTCATTTCACAGTCCTTCAGTGTTTATAGTTGTCTATACAGCTTTATGCAGAAGGAAATTGCAATTACTGAATAAACTTTACACATTTTGAAAAATCTGTTTCTCCTTTCATGTTCAAATGAATCACAGCTTAAATGAACATATAGTTTTTGTTTTTTTTTTAAAAAAAAACGCTTTTATAGTGTGAAATGTCCAGGATTTTAAAGCATGAACACTGAATCATTACCACAATTAAAAAAATATTTTTCAGCATTTCGACTATACTTTACGATTGGCTCTCTATTGGATGTCTAGAATTCCTCTGTCTTCATCTGCAGTTAGTGAAATTAAGCAGAGCGGATGCCAGTGCTACCGCAGTTCTTGTCCAGGGTTACCAAAACAAATGATCCAAACAGACTTGGCAAAAAACTCACTGACAAAAACCATCGAGGGACTAAAATGCAGCCTTCAGCAAATGCAAACATTTACTTTCATTTTCTTGCGTTTAATTCCTTTCATCCTATCTGCCTTTCACAAGAAGTGCTTCTGCCCATGCTTCACAGTGGCAATTTAGCCATTCTCAACTGTTCAGATCTGGCAATACAAAGTCTAAACGTTTGTGCCACCCTTTTTATTTCAACTGGAGTATTTACAATAGACTGTATTACCACTTTTTTTTTTTTTTAAAGCAACCCAAGTACCAACTGAATACAAACCAAATACTAATTAAACAAATCTTAAGTTTTCATTTCATCACAATAATTTTATTTTGATTCCACTTTTTCACTTCGATCTCTTTTGCAAACGAGATTCAGCCATTATTTGGATATAAATCTTGCAAAACTGTGTTTATTTTTTTTTCCTTTTAATAGTTGGTTACATAAAAAAATCTATTTCCTGTGAAGAAAGTCACATCTTGTCACCCACTCAGGCAAATGAACAATGTTTTTTGGAACAGTTCTTAATTGTGCTGTTAAGAAAAAAACTTTTGAGGCTTCCTCAAATAAATAGAAAGAAAATAGTAAGAGAGGTGCTGTGGTTCTACCACCAGCGCTCTTTAAATTCAAGTTACTAAATGCACAGTTCAGTTTTATCCTGGCTCAGCCTCTCCCAGCTGCAGTCCCGGGACAGAGGCTGAGGCTGCTCCTTGAGACACGGTCCTGCCACAAGTGGAGGACAAACAGGACGTGCCTTTGCCTGGAACAACCTTTTGGTTTATGTAAACTTGTGCAAAGTGCAGAATTACTCCTCAACACAGTTCTGTGGAGCACATGTGCTAACATCCATTCCTACAGACTCCTGCTAAAAATGCTGCTTTTAGAAGCTTCCAGGTAGAAGTTACCAACAATTATGTTATTCTGTATTTTCTTTTTTCTAGCTGAGTCAAAAGGAAACAAACTAAAACAAGTATTAGTTTAAGACAAGTATTCACTTTATCATTCATTTTTTTCTTCCCCACCTTGGCTCAATATTTAAACTTAATTCATATTTTTACAGCCTGGGAACACATGCTTTCTCACAGTATCAGCATCTCGCAATATACACAGTACAGTTAACAAAATGATTTAATTCTGTGCAGCTACTTTAATGGGGCATAATAATATAATATTAGTAAGACAACATAAGCTGCTTACAGGACACATACTTAAGATACTTACAGCATTCTTCCCCCCAAACTTCACCTAAAAAGCTGAATATTCTCCTGTTGTTATTTATCTTCACATTATCCTATCACCTGACACCTATTCCAGTTTAAACAGGACACCTATTTAAACTGAAATAAATGCAGACAAGTGTAACTGTTTCGCATAGTTAGTACTTAAAACTGTGCTGTTTGTTTATCCAGAACACTGTTCATCTGATTTAATTAAGACACAAAAGTAGTATGTGCAACAAACTGTCTAAAAATACAGGGAACAAACTTATTTCAGAGCATTTTTAAAA